TAAATCAGTTATTAAGTCTTTTATATTATTTTACTTTCACGAGCTTTTGATGCTGATTTATTGAGAATTTTATAAATGACATAATTATAATATTAACTGAAACTCAGTTAATTTCATTTGTTTTATACTGTATCAAGTAAATGAAGACGGAATAGGAGAGTATCACAAAAATATGATGAACTTTATATGTTCATTTCCAAATGTACATAAAATTATCTGTTTCACTTAAATATTTTTATGGCAAATATTCAGATATCATTACTTAAAAAAAAAACTGCAATGATGACAATAAAATCGTTAATATCTTTTGTTTGCATGTGGCGTTTTTGTGTCGTCTTTTTACGCATGTTTTTCGCTAGTTTTAGTGTAACTAGATAAATAAAATAAAAATAAATAAATAGAAAAAAATATTCTAAAAAGTGTGGGTTACGTGAATAATCTAAATATTTCATATTAAAAAATCCACATTTTCACTTACGGACATTACAGGTTTTTTTTTCATTTCTCAAAACAAAACAAAAAACTTTAAATATCTTCCATGATGAATCATAAAGGGTTTTCCTTTCTACTCTATAAATGCATTTATTTAAAATCGAGAGAATCCCCTTTGTAATGGAAGACAGTTGGCACAATATGCAATTGCCCAGCATTATTCTACGAAATATCAATTTAGCCTTTTTAGCTCACCTGAGCAATGCTCAGGGTGAGCTATTGTGATCGCCCTGTGTCCGTCGTCCGTCGTCGTGCGTCGTCAACTTTTCACATAAACAACATCTCCTCTGAAACCAATGACTGCACATCAACCAAACTTTACAGAAATGATCCTTGGGTGGTCCCCTTTCAAAGTTGTTCAAATGGTTCCGGTCTGTTGCATATGTAGGTCACAGGGCCAGAAAAGGATTTCAAAAAACACAAAATTAAAAAATATTCTTGTCTGAAAGTACATGGGCAAGAGCTTTGATTTTTGGTATATGGTATCATCTATGGGTCCTCTACCAAAGTTGTTCAAATTTTGTCCCTAGTGTCAAAATTGGCCCCGCCCCGGGGGGTCATAGGTTTTTCCTTATATGTCTATGGGTAAATCTAAAAAAATCTTCTTCCCTGATTTGGCAAAGGCTACAGATTAGATATTTGGCATGAAACATTGTGTAGTAGACCTCTATCAAGATTGTTCAAATAATGGCCCTAGGGTCAAAATTGGCCCCGCCCTGGGGGGTCATTGATTTTCATTACATACATATAGTGAAAACTTGAAAAATCTTCTGGTCTGAAAGTAAATGGCCTAGAGCTTTGATTTTTGGAATATGGTATCATCTATGGGTCCTCTACCAAAGTTGTTCAAATTTTGTCCCTAGTGTCAAAATTGGCCCCGCCCCGGGGGTCATAGGTTTTTCCTAATATGTATATAGTAAAATCTAAAAAAAATCTTCTTCTCTGATTTGGCAAAGGCTACAGATTAGATATTTGGCATGAAACATTGTGTAGTAGACCTCTATCAAGATTGTTGAAATAATGGCCCTAGGGTCAAAATTGGTCCCGCCCCGGGGGGTCATTGATTTTCATTACATACATATAGTGAAAACTTGAAAAATCTTCTGGTCTGAAAGTAAATGGCCTAGAGCTTTTGATATTTGGTCTATGGTATCATCTGAAGGTCCAATACCAAAGTTGTACAAATTTTGTCCCTAGTGTCAAAATTGGCCCCGCCCCGGGGGGTCATAGGTTTCTAATATGTTATTATAGTAAAACATAAAAAATCTTCTTCTCTGAATTGGCAACGGCTACAGGTAAGATATTTGGCATGAAACATTGTGTGGTAGACCTCTACCAAGATTGTTCAAATAATGGCCCTCGGGTCAAAATTGGCCCCGCCCTCGGGGGTCATTTGATTTTCATTATATACATATAGTGAAACTTGAAAAATCTTTATGGTCTGAAAGTAAATGGCCCTAGAGCTTTGATATTTGGTCTATGGTATCATCTATAGATCCAAAAAACCAAAGTTGTTCAAATTTTGTTCCCTAGAATTAAAATCGGCCCCGCCCTGGGGGTCATTGATTTTCCCTATATGTATATAGTAAAAACTTAAAAAATCTTCTTTTAAGAACCCAAAGAGCTAGAGCTAAGATATTTTAGCATGAAACATCTTCTAATGGGTGTCTACCGAAGTTTGTTTCAAATAAAAGCCCTGGGGTCGAAATTGGCCCCGCCCCAGGGGGTCATTGATTTTCCCTATATGCATATTAGTAAAAAACTTAAAAAAATTCTTTGAAAAAGAACCCAAAGAGCTAGAGCTAAGAGATATTTAGCATGAAACAAGGTTCTAATGGATGTCTACCATAGATATGTGTATATATATATATATATATAATATATATATTATATATATATATATATTATATTATATATATATATATATATATATATATATATATATATATATATATATATATAAATCTTCTTTTAGAAAAACCCAATTAAGCTAGACCTTAGATGTTTAGCATTGAGACATCTTCTAATGGGTGTCAACCAAGTTTGTTCAAATAAAAGCCCTGGGGTTTAAACTGGCCCCGCTCCGGGGGGCCTATATACAGGTGAGCGACTTTGGGCCATCATGGCCCTCTTGTTTTAAAAATGTTTTGCGGCCATAAAATATTACCAGAACGCTTCGTTATTGACTTATTCTTAAACCTCCTTTGAAGAGTTACACACTATTTTAAAGTAAGTTTAAGAAAAAACTTACGAATGTTTTGTGAAACACACTTACGATTTACGTAAGTTTAAAAGTAAGCGTAAAGTTACGAAAAAAAACTTACGAAAAACTTACGCAATGTTAGTAAAACGCTGCCCGGGCATTGGTTCAAGTAACAAAATTATAGGCCAACTCACTGGGCTGATTTCATTGTATGAAGTATCGTTGGGTGGCTGAGAGTCGTAGAGGAGAAACAACGTATGTAAGACATGTACAAAGTGAGAAAAGATCTGGACAGGATAGGCTGTTGCTTTACTAGAACTGCTTATTTGTCTACACATAAAACAATTATGTTCTGCAGTTCACTATGACCATCTGAATAGGTATTTTAGTAAGATCTCGTTGTCGAACTTAGAACCTCCATTCCGTCCGTTAATCTATTAACAAGACCGGGAGTAAAGATACAAGACGATAATAACAGGCTTCTGTAAAATGGCAATATCTTAAAATTAAGTATGATGGGATTTGACTATCAAAAGGATGAGCAACATTTATAGTCTATTACGTCGAAAACTTAATGCAATGCCATCTTATATGGACACGCTAGTAACATCTTCATAAAACAATGAGCCATTAAAGCAATAATTATCGCCTTTAAGGAGAATCACATTTGAGAATGTTTTATTTGAGCCTTTTTTTAATCAGAAATGTGCCAAAATTTGGATGGTTTAACTTTTTATATAAAACGAAAACCACCAGTTGTTAATTACCAACCTTTTTTGGAGACTATAACAATATCACATATAGTCGTAAAAAGAAAAACGATTATCTCCCATGGACATGCGCAGAGACTTAGCAACCAATGTACACAGTTTTGCAGAATAATATCGGTAAGTACAGTTGTGTTTATTTTGTGTGATCGTTTAAATAATTGGGTATTTGCAAGTTTTATGATATTATTTCAAAAAGTTATTTTTTAATCACACTATTATTCAAAGATGATTACTAATTATTTAAGATTCAGAAAGCAATACTATTATTTTGATAAATTAGATGCTATTTTAAACTGATAAAGTTTATCCATGACTTGCCTGGACTCATGCACATCATGACATGGGACAATATGCAGTTTTATTTGCTTTGCTTACTCGGTAAACAGGGAAAATCTATTGATTCAAGTTTGAGTAACCTAGCTATAATTTAGTGATAATAGATTGAAATTTATAATATTTTCTGTTGAAATAGAAAAAATTTAATAACCAAATCTCTAAGCAAACACGTTAGAGTTTTGGGTTCTAGTCCAGTTCCACAACTTCCTATAATTTCTCTAGCAAAAAATGACAGCAAACACCCATGGTAACTGCCAAAATGCACCAACAAATGATTTGTGTTCTTACATGTAGATTTAATTATATGTGTTCAAAGTATAGTTTAGAAGTAACATTTGTTTTGTTTTGTTTGTATAATTTCAATATTTTGTGCCATATTACTATTGCAATATGTAGTGTGGTGGAACGATAGCTCAGTTGGTTAAACCACTGTCTATCACTCCTGAGGTCCCGGGTTCGATCCTGGGTTACACCCTTGGGAATTTTTCAGAGACACTTTCAGTGTTTCCCACCTACATAGAGGTGTACTGGTAAGAAATCCAGGTAATCCTCGCATGTATCAGTGCTATACACTGGGCATGTAAAAGAACCAAGGGGTCTATTCAATAAGAGCTAGGGACTGGTTCCCGGATTCCCTTGTATCTTAAAGCTGTTTCTTAAATGTATACAATGTATACCTGCCTTTAACACTCGTAAGAGGGGTTGGCAGTATCCAGAGATAGATAGATAGACAATAAATCAAAACCATATAGCCTAGATTAGTAAATGTAATACAAAGACCAGTGTATGGAAGAGAATTAAAAGTATACTATGTAATAGATGCTGACAATGGACGTCTCTCCTGTGATTGCAAGCCTAATACATACACGAAGTATTTCTTATTATTATATATTTGAATGTAGAATCTCTCAAAAAGTAAATAACTTGTAAATTAAATATATAATCAATGGTAACCATTATAATAATGAAAGCAAAGAAATACTTGCAGTCACGTCATCTTGCTATGTAATTAGTTACTTACTTATGCATACATGTTATTGTATATATTATGAATGCTTGTACATGACTCTTTTGAGAGTTAATTTGCAAAATAAAGATTCTTCTTCTTTAATAAATTAATTGTTTTATAAATGATATTCATCAGGGGTTTGACATAAAAGCCTTACAAGGATGATAGATTGTAGATCTATTCTATACATTGACACTCTTTTCTATTCAAGGAAAACAACATTAAGTTATAAAGAAGGATAAGAAACCATGGGACAAGCACTGCAGCGTGCTGCCCAGTGGACCTCTGCAAAGGGAGGTTCAGGTGGGAAGCTCGAATTTACAAAACTAAATGAAGATCTGCTCAATGCGATTATGAACTGGGTTGATGGTTTCGGTAGTAAATATCCTGAAGAAGCAAAACTTGTATTCAAATCACCCCTGACATGGATAACTACGCTTAGACCAGATAAACTATCTGGAGGTTTTACTGAAAAGTAAGGAATAGTTTTATTCTTTTGACATAACATTTAATAAAGTCAAGAGAAGAGTAATTCTTAGTAGAAAAATACTTATTTTGTGGTTAGAAAATTTTGTCTATGGTGTTGGCTGAGTAATTAAGGTTGCTGACTTTAAATTACCACTCTGCACCTGTTTTGAATCTGAATTCAACTTTTGTTATTTTATATGAAAATGCTATACCAGTTAATAAAGGTTGATTAAAATGTAGAACTTGAAATATCCTGGTATCGTCATCCAACAGTAAACCTTGTAAGAACTTTGCCATATAAGATTGTTTTATTGATAAATGAAATAAATTAGATACAGTTTACCTCTATTGAAGTTAACTGTTACATAAACAGATGACACATAAATATCCACATCTGTTATTCAATGGGGGTATATTGGCTGTTTTGGGGAAATCACAAGAGCTGAGTCACCTTAAATGATTAATGCTATGAAGGTATTTTTTGTGTAGTAATCTTTATACATGTCTTCTAGGGGAGAAGAAATGGTATCAACACAGACAAGTGAAAAAGATGGAACTCCCATGTTGACATTGAAAAAAGTCAGCACTAATGAATACTCAGTGACTTCTATGTCTCTTGAGTGTTGTGAGAGTGTACTAAGAATGGCTGGAGACCAGAAGCTGATGGAAGTTCGCAGTTGTCTAGAAGGTAATATACAATTATTTCAAGACTAAAAAATTTTCAGTATGTAAATCATTTACTTAAGTAGAGGATGTTGCAGACAGGGTGTCTTTGGTTGTTGACTTCAAACCACTTAATCCTTATCGCTGTGGGTTCAGGGGACTTTGAATTCTTTCATGTGAGTAAGTTATTTAGCTAGCCTACTAGATATTGGTGGTTCTACTTGTGTCTGTCAAATAATGAACATTAAGGGGCAGCTGAGGTCTTCCTCGACCAGTAATGCTGGAAAGTTGCCATTGACCTCTACTGTGCTGGTACAATGTAAAAACCCAAACATCAAACAAATATTTACTAATAATGTAAATGGAGAGCTAGGAGTATCAGTACAAACCTTTGCTATTTTTTATTCAGATTGCAAATGAAATAAAAAGTCAATATTACCAGATCTTTAGAAAGTCTCAGTTTTACATCTGTATGTGTGCAGTTAAAACATTAGTATATAATTTGCTCTGTTGTTTTCAGCTAACCGTGACCCTGCTACAAAAATGCTTGGAGATAGATTTGCTACTGTAGAAGGCGATGATAATTCTATATACAGGTAACATATTCTTTCTTTTAGAAGAGATGTTATTAAAAAATTCAAAAAAACAATTATTGCTAAGTAAGAAACTTAGTATGTGACTGATAGATTTAATTCTTTTGAAATTCATCGATAGGTTGACTGTTGCAATTTATTATGAAAGAAATAACATTCAATGAAATTTAACAGTACACATTGAAAAATTAGGAATATCTTTATATGTAATTACCCTTTGAATGCTGTACTAGTTTTAATAAAAGTTAGGAGCTTCCATTATAGAGCCAGACCAGTGTGAACATCCAATTGCAGTCTCACAAGGCTGTACTATTTATTGTTTGTTGCTCAATTTGAGTTCTCAGATACCATCATTCCCTGTTAATACTAATATTAGATAAATCAGTGAACTTTCAAGGCATGTTCATCACACAAATACAGTACTGGACATAATAGGTTAATGCCTGAATTAACAAATTTTGGCACTGAAAACAGAAATATGGCACCTGATGATTTATCTCCCGCCAAAAAGTTTAAATAATTTAAATGATAATAATAACAATTCCCCACAATTGTTTTCTATACTGTGCTCCTCATAGTTCACGGTACTTAACGATTTGAAACCAGAAAGAAAACAACAAATGAAACTTATGTTACAAAAATTGTCATAAGCTATAACATATAGATATTTTCTACTGTATGACATAAGGAAACAACAATATATTCAGTCAAAGACAATTTTAAAGGACCAAACGTAGACCATATGTCGGCCATTTTGAAAACAAAATGTCATCATTTAAATCGCGGTAATCGTGTTACATTTAAGTTTTCTCATGTTTCAGTTATAATTTCTACATGTTAATTTGCTTGATTTACATATCAAAATTATCCTTACTTTGTAACTCAAAATTTATTTTTTCAACAAACAAGAACATTTAGAAAATGATGATTGTTTCAGACATACGTAAAAATTTAATGGACTAATATTGCTTTTTGCAGAAATTTGTAAAATGTTGTTTTGTTTTACGTAAAAATCTAGAGATTTAAAATATATTTACACAAAAACTTTGTAATATAGGTGAATGAATAAAATGTGTCAATTCTGACCAATTTTAACACTGGTCACATGAAAATATGCCATTACCGTGAAATAAGTGATGACGCGGAATTAGTGATGTTGAGTATAATAAATATCCTATTAGAATTTGCTTTCTGTAAGATTTAAAGCTGCTGCATCCAGATGAGTAAAAATATTTCTAGAAATTCAATCTTAGAAAAATGTACTAGGATCTTAAGAAAAGTAAAAATATTCAATATTTAATTAATTATTTAGGAGCCTACATATTATGTGAGATTAATGACCGATTTTGCAGTATCAGTCACTATCTTTCTACTGCGTTACTAAACACAGTCAAGGTATTTATGTATATTTTAGGCTCCTTTAGGTAATTTACTGTGGATTGTAAGCGCCATTTGCAGTGTGTAAATTACTTTCTTTGTTCACTTCACAGTATTTTATTTTTAAATACATTTTTAAAATTTTCATGAAATTAGCATGAATCTAGGAGGCATGCTGCCTTTAACATCATGAGTATTGTCACTTTTGTTTGTATGTGCAGCAAAATTTCCTGAAATTCCCCTTCATATAGAAACAGGTCAAAGAGAGGGCTCTAACAAACAACTTGTAATTTCAGGTTTATTGAAGAGATTACTAAAGAGATTGAGCAAGTAGCCAAACAGGAAGGGTGGAGAAGGTGGTCACAGCGAGATAGAAGAGAAGAAGTTGCAACTTAAACTTCAGCTTCAGATCAAACCGTCTGAACCAGCAGTTACTTCAACAGTCCATTCAAACAAATTGCTGGGTTTGTTTATACGAATTAATTTTAGTTTGATTGTGTTGGCAGCTGTACTCATATTGAAACACTCTCAAATCCGTTTCCTGGAACCAACCAAGTACTTAGTACCAAGTACTAAGCAATGAGTGTAAAGTTTCTTGCTCACAGAAACAACAGCTTTGTCCCTGAAGGGGTTTGAACCAACACAGTCAGCAATTCCTTAGATTAATAATCTGACACATTAACACTTGGCCATGGTTGGTAATTATTTATAGGCATATTAATTGCCATTATCAAATAAGATACTTTTCTCTTTGAGGAATAAGTGTAAAATATTCTTAAATGATTTTATGTGTAAAGGTGTGATTGTGAACAGTTTTAAATAATCTCACCTGTTGGTGTTACCTCATAATGTAACATAGACTTTTATGCCAAATAGATGAGCAGAGCTGAATATCTTTACCCTTTCCCCCATGAGCATTTTGTGAAAAATGGCCATTTTCACTGAAAAAGAGCCTCCTCTTACAAGTTCAAAACCTTAAAAT